TTCAAAGAACCCCAAGGCCTTCCACCAAACCGCAATCGAGATCACGCTATTGTGTTGCAACCAGGGGTAGCACCAGTAAACGTAAGGCCCTATCGCTACCCGTATGTGCAGAAAAATGAGAGAGAAAGATTGGTTCGAGAGATGTTAGCAGCAGGTATTATTAGACCAAGCACGAGCCCCTTCTCCAGTCCAGTATTATTGGTCAAGAAAAAAAATGGGAGTTGGCATTTTTGGGTAGATTGCCGGGCATTAAATCGGGCAACAGTGTCAAACAAATTCCCTATTCCAGTTATTGAGGAACTCCTTGATGAATTGCACGGAGCAACATTTTTTTCCAAACTGGATTTGAAGGCCGGGTGTCATCAAATTCGGGTAACGGAGGGAGATATCCCGAAAACAACATTTCGAACTCACGAGGGGCACTATGAGTTCCTTGTCATACCGCTCGGACTGACTAACGCTCCAGCCACTTTTCAATCGCTTATGAATGAGATCTTTAAATCACAATTAAGAAGGATTTCTTACCCTTTTTTATCATATTATGGTCTATAGCAGCAATATGGAGGAGCCTTATGAGCATCTTAAATGTGTATTAGCCTTGTTGGCTAAACATCAGTTGTATGCTAATAAAAGGAAATGTCAACTCAGGCAGACGGAGATTGAATACTTAGGGCACATTATATCGAAGAAGGGAGTTGCAGCAGATCAAACGAAAATTAAGGAAATGTGTGTTGGCCTAACCCCTAAAATCTTAGACCTTCATGGATTTTTAAGCTTATCATGATACTATCGAAGGTTCGTGAAGGGATATAGACAACTAGCTTGGCCTTCAACCAAAAGGCTGCAGAAAGACAACTTTTACTGGGACGAGATAGCTGAGGCTTCATTCCAAAATTTGAAGGAGGCCATGGTTTCGGCTTCGGTTCCTGTGTTAGCCCTACCAGATTTTAGCAACCAATTCATTGTGGAGACTAACGCTTCAGGGCATGGACTTGGGGCAGTTTTAATGCAAGAACAATGTCTCGTAGCTCATTTCAGCCATGCACTAAATTCGCACAACCGTAGCAAGTGTATGGAAGGGAGTTAATGGCCATTGTTTTTGCGGTTCAAATATGGAGGCATTATCTCTTGGAACAGAAGTTCATCATCTGGACAGATCAGATTAGCTTGAAGTTTCCGATGGAGCAAAGAGTGGTTAATCCCGTTATCAAAAGTGGTTGGTTAAGCTGATGGGGTATCGCTTTGACATACAGTATCAGCCGGATCTTGAAAACAAGGTAGCTGATGCGTTGTCGAGGATAAATCCAGCGGTTGAATTGATGGCTATAATAGTCTCGAAGGTGCTATCACTAGAAAGGCTAATAGAAGAGGTAACGGCAGATGAAAGCCTTGGGAAAATCGTGGACGATATAGAGGCAGACTGGCTATCACATCCAGGGTATTCTTTGTCGCATGAGCAGTTATTATACAATGGACGGCTAGTGATACCAAAAGAGTGCTTTGGTGCCTCTACTATTACGAGAAGGCCATGATGGGAGCATTAGAGGGCACTCCAAGGTACTTCAGACCTATAGGCGCTAAGCAGCCAATGTTTTCTGGAAAGGGATGAGGAAGGACGTCCAACAGTACGTCAGTTAGTGTTCAGTATGCCAACAAAATAAATAGTTAGCCTTGTCGCGAGCAGGTCTCTTGCAACCGCTCCCTATACCTGATTAAGTGTGGGAAGAAATTGCTATGGATTTCATCGAGGGGTTGCCTAAATCTGCAAGTATGGACACAATCTTGGTGGTAGTGGACCAAATAAGCAAGTATGCACATTTCGTGGGTTTGAAGCATCCTTTCATAGCTAGTACAGTGGCAACCATATAAACTAAAGAGGTCATTCGCTTACATGGGGTGCCAAAATCCATAGTATTCGACCATGATAAGGTTTTTATGAGTAAGTTCTGGGAGGAAATATTTCGCCTATAGGGCACTAAACTTAATAGAAACACAGCATACCACCCTCAGTCCGATAGACAATCAGAAGTGGTTAATCGCACGCTAGAGACGTACTTGCGTTGTTTTGCTTCAACCAAACCCAGAGCTTGGTACAGTTGCTATCGTGGGCAGAACTATGGTACATCACTTCTTATCATGTCTCCTCTAGAATCACCCTGTTCCCAAATTGTTTATGCAAGGGAGCCACCCCCGTTGATACGATTTGAAAAGGGTTCAACCATAGTCTCAACTGTAGAACAACAGCTATTGGAAAGAGACCTGGTCTTAGAGGAACTCAAGGAGCAATGACTCAGAGCACAGTCTAAAATGAAACACAATGCTGATGCTAAATGGCGCGAAGTATGTTTTGAGGTTGGTGACCAGGTCCTCCTCAAGATTAGGCCATATAGAAGAAAATCCTTGGCCACCCATCCGAATGAGAAGCTGGCTCTAAGGTTTTATGGGCCTTACATGGTGACACAGAAGGTAGGAAAAGTGGCATACCACCTTAATTTGCCTCCCACAGCCGACATTCACCTTGTGTTCCACGTGTCCCAGTTAAGAAAAGCTATGGGAACATTCCAAACAATAGAGGAATTACCCTCACAACTTAGGAAGGAGTTGGAAATGATGGTAGAGTTAAAGGCAGTACTCAAAGTAAGACCAGGGACCACGGGAAACCTTCGAGGCCATGACATTTTGATTCAATGGAAGGGTATGCCTCCCTTAGAAGCAACGTGGGAACTTTGTGATTTAATTGAACAACAGTTCCCCTCCTTTTACATTGGGACAAGGTGAGATTCGAAGGGAGGGGTAATGATTGGCCACCAATTAAAGTGATATACTCAAGACGTGATCAGGTGAAGCAAGGCATGGGCAGTAAAGGAAACAAATCAGTGTAGCAAGAAGGAAAACACGTTTCATAAAATTGCAACCAATAGCAGGTGCAGACCGTTAGAGGGAAATTCTAGAAGATTACCAACTACTATAAAAGGCAAGGAAGGAGCAATAATAAAGGTAGGAAGAATCTAGCAAACCTGAAGGAAAGAATGCCTCTCGAATACCTCATATATCTTGTAATTTTTTTTTTCTTTTGGTTACAGTCGATTGTAATCACTCATTTAAATTCAATCAGATTTTCCCAGTACTATTCTTCACTAAGTCTCAAATTTTCCTTCCCAGACCTCATCACCCTATTACCACACCATCTAATGTAAAGAAGACTATGATTAGAGCTTGTGTTGATCTCCATTTTTTCCCAAAATGTATTTTGGAATAGTATTTTGATGGAGAAGACATAGTTAAAAAATAAGGAAAAGTTTTGAATTTATGTGTAAAAACATTTTATTGAAAAATGTGTGGTCGAAAATAAAAAGAGAAAAATGCATTTTGAAAATAATGGGGACTAAACAAGGGATTAAAAACCTATGGGAGAGGTCTTAATAACTATGACTTCCCAAAGCACAGTGTTACGGACCGTAAGGTCATGACTTGAGGCTTGTCATGGCATGGGAATGTCACGACACAAAGTGGGAACATGAGGTAAACCTATGGCAAATAAAGTCTTAAGTTTTGGCAGTACATGGCGATGAGGGCGTCGCCAAATTTAGTGGGGGAGTAACTTACGTCCCCACAGTTGCGACCAATACGTCTAGGTTGTAGATGAGGGAATCGGGTAATGTAAGCAGTGTGTTACGGCTGGATGGAAGCACCTGCGGTGGGGGAGCAGACCGAACTTGCAACAATGGATGTGGGCAGAACCAACATAGGAACCTATGGCAAGGGACGCAGGCAGGACCAAGATAAGCACTACGGCAGGGGGATGTAAACATGCAAAACTCAGGTAGATTGCTAGAATTGCGGCAGGGGACGCAACAGTAATACAGGCAGACTATGTAGGCGAACGCAGGCTAGGGACGCAAGCAGACGCCGATAGGAGATGCAGGATGAAAATCAGATTTTCAGGGTGAAAACTACTATTGTGAGGAGAAGTAATACCCTAGACTATCGCCGGTGGTTTTGGATGCAAGTGTGCGTCAAATTTTCCAATTAGACAACTTGCATAAAGAGGCCAACATGCAACTTGCCAACTTGCTTGAAGAAGTAAAATCCAACTTAGCCACCATGATAAAGACATGTCCACTTGCACAATAAGTTGCAGAGATTGTCCACTTGTATGGAAAGTGACATGCCAACTAGCATAGAATTGGAAGAGGATAAGATACATTGCAACATGACAACTTGCAAGTGTAGAGACATGCAACTTGTAAGGAAGCAAATTCCAACTTAGCTACCTTGTATCTAAGGAGGTGGAAGGTAACTTGCAACTAATAAGGACCACTGGATCAATATCAATCCTAGCCATTGATGCCAACTTGCATATCATGAGTTTGCCTATAAATAGAGATGTTTGGTCATTTGTAATTCCTATGGAATGAGTAGAGGAAGTAATAGAGAGTTGAGAGAAAATTCCTATGGATGAAATGGGAGTAAAGTGGGATAGAGTGATATTTTTGTAGAGAGAAAATACTAGAGAGTTTGTAAATAGTTTTCTCTTATATTTATACAAAGAATTTTCCCCAAATATATGTGTACTCTCTTTTCCTCATAATTTTCTTCTCTACCATCTCTACCAAAGTTAACATATAATTTAGCCTCATTTGGTTAAATTATTGTTGGAGTTTAAGGCTGACTTAACGCTATCTCGTGGGGACGAGAATTGTCGAGCGTTAAGGCCGCACGATTCTAGCGTAGTTCAGGAGTTACGAAACTAGGCCCGTGACAACAAACTAACTTGAGTATACCAAGAAGGAAAATGTCCGTGTGGATTAAGTTCCTCCAACACGTTTTTGCTTGTCTCAGTCTAACTCCATAAGTAAAAAATTAGCATCAATTACTATGGTCAATAATTAACCTAACAAACTTTGCATAAAAGAATGTTGACCAGACATAAAAATTATTAATGAGACCCATTTATTGGCTCCTTTGTATGAGTTTTTTTTCTATCTCTGATCGATTACCTGTTCCTCTTCTATTTTTCTTTGCAATTCCTCCTCCTTGCGCCTCTCTTCTACTAGAGCAGTTTCAGCTACTTCCCGTGCCTTCAACTCCTTCTCTTTATCAGCTTGTAATGAAGCAAGAAACTCATCATCCTACATGGAATCATAGATTAAGGCCTTATTTGATTCTCATTTTTCTCAAAATGCATTTTTCTCTCTTCTTTTCAACTACACATTCTTCATTAAAATATATTACATGTAAATCAAAAAAATTTCCTTATTTCTCATCCACACATTCTCCATTGATCTACTATTCTAAAATTCATTTTTCCCTAAAAATGGGGGTGAAAACAGCCCCTAAAATCAAGGACAAACTGATCTACTTGCACTAAAAGCACATAATTCAAACCTGTTGTTCCCGTATCAATCGCTGAGCTGTAAGAGCAGGTGACGGAGGACGAGGCATATCCCTCAGGTAAGGATCCATAGGTCTATCTAAACCATTCTGCATGAGTTGATGAGGTGCATAAGGGATATGATATCTACTTCTTTCAGGAATGCCACCAAGCATTGCAGCCTCAAGCATTACTGCTTCATCATGTTCCTCAGATGAGATGCCACCCCACTTTAAACAAATGTACATTGGAAGCATATTTTATCAGTATTTGAAATGCATAGAACAGTCAATTTTAGTTTCTAGAAGATCATTTAAAGTTAGTGTACATAAATGTCAAGAAAAAATGTTACTTCATCAGAGCTGTGCTGCGAATGATGAAGGCTACCACCCTGCCTAGGGCTTGATAGTGGGGTAACGTCAACTTCTTCAATATTTTGGGTAGTAGTGTCAACAGAACCTGGAGACATGTGTCTCCTCCCATGCCTAACTAGAGGATGCTCCTCTGCATCTTCTGCTTCATCTTGAATGGATGAGCTTCCAACCTCCAACCATGGTTGCCTACAAATACTTCGTCAGAAGAAGAAAATTGAGATATCCAACAATTACATATGAACATCCATGAGCAACGGGAACATAGGAGGGGAATAGATACTCCCAACAGAAATAACTGAAAGAATGAGTTTATAATTAAGACAGTGACATCAAAGAGAGCATATACCTTTGAGCTGTGGGTGCTAATTTGCCCAATTCCTCCACCTCAGCTGATATCTGATCTTCCTGTCTCGATACTCCAGCTTTCCCTTCCAGTTCCTGCAGCACTTTCTCTTGCTCAGCTGTCTGGATTCACTTCCACGTTAACAGAAGCAACAACAAAGATTCACAAATGTTGGCAAAGAGCAAAGAAGCATACCTTCAATGATGAAGAAACTGCATGTGCAAGCTCAGTGTCTTCTAGGTGAGATTGTCTAGGCTGATGAGAGGAATTCCTAAGATCCTGTATCAGATCAATATATTTCGATAACTAAAATTCACATTACAGGCTGAAAATGACTCATACATTCAAACTGCATCACATACAAGGTGATCATCAAATTGTTGATTTGACATTGCAGCATCCCGTTTGGAAGCCTCAATGGCAGCACGGATCATTTCTTCTTCTATATCATTGCTGTAGTCAGGTACATCAACAATAGCAGGAGCACTTGGTCCATGACATGTTGAACTATTTTGTTCCCTATGCCCAGAAGCATGCGTAAATGGTGTATTTGGGACATAATCTCCATTGTTGTCGTCGTCGTCGTCGTCGTCATCCATTGTGACAGTCCCACGGATTTCTGGGCCATGATGTGCAGTTTCAGAGACATCTTCAATTATAGGAGCAGTACCAGACTGACCAGAAGGTCCGTTACCATCCTTCACCTCAATTGGGATCTCCCTCACCTCTCTTGGATGTGAAACAAATGATGAATGACTACCAAAACTAGTACCAGTATCAAATATAGTTCTTGAGAAGTTTGGATCAAATAAAGAAAATGGATTCAAATCCCTAGCAGAGGGTAATAGTGAAAAAGGTCTACGGGGTTCAGCCAGAATTGGGTCATCTATATCCATAACATCATTCCGAGGAGCAGTGATAGATGCCTCTGGCGTTCTGAACATAGAGAAACAATAATGTAATAGAAGATGTTCAGATTTAAAAGTACATAGGCATTTAAAGGGAAAGAAGAAGGGGGGGAAAAAAGATTGAAAAGGACTGGAAAAATGCCTACATGTTTCTATCAGCTTCATTGAAATGTGAATTGACAGCTTCATTCAGGTTGCCATGATGCTCCTGCTCAACACAGCACATATAATTAACTCGTTTGAGGCAGACAGAAAGAAGGGGAAAGAAGAGTGTTGAAAAATAGTAAGCCTATGTTTGGTCCCCATTTCTTCAAAATTCAATTTCAACCACACATTTTCTCATAAAATAATTTTACACAAACCAAAACTTTTTCTTCTTTTTAACCACACATTCTCGGAAAAACACTATTCCAAAATACATTTACTTATCAAAATGGGGTTCAAACAGGGGCTAAAGAAGTCACGAGTAGTTCCAGATATTAAATTCCTCCAATACTGATCTATAAAGCTAGTAAATAGCACAGTTGCATAGTTAACTATCACCAAATTTACAAATTATAAGCAAACAAATATGTAAACTTTCTTTCTTCTGGGTCATATGATAGCAATTCGATACCAGATTGTTTGATACCGTGGTCCAATTGGAAATTACTTTTTCCACCGACTATCAAACACCAACATTTTTAGCTATGGATTGAATAAAAGTTCATCAAGGACCCACAGTGGAGCAGGATATGTAGAAGAAGATGCATGTTACAACATTCATATGTGCACACTTGTTTCACTTTCCCTCTTCTCGTAAAAACTGCAGAGACATCAACTAAAAGATAATATCCATAGAGCATATGCATAACCCAAATCTGGCAGAATAATGCAAGCCGTTTGACTTCTCTCCTTCCTCTATCATTTCCTTCTTTCTTTAAGGCACAAACTAGGAACCATAAGACAACTGAATAAACAATACACATTTAAAGAAATAGATCTACAGGCAGTTCTTGATGCTGATAATTGTTGAAGATGAGATTTAAAAGAATATAAGTAGCTCATCTCTAAAATCTTAAGTTTTTAGATGAAATAGTTAACATGATTAGAGCTAAGCAACTGCTGTCCGTTAATAAAAATTGAGTACACATCAGAACTTTGATTAAAAAAAATATGAATGTTGTTTGCATGTGAGGGGGGTGTGGTAGACAAGATTTAACTGTATAAATGTGACCCATTGATAACTGCTTAAGCTTTTAGAGAATGTTGTCATCAATATTAGACACCAACCCCTTTAAATTCTGAAAATATAGAGCTGTTGCAGCTAGCAAATTCCAAGTAGTTCTCACAGACCTAATCCAAATTTTTCTTGCTTCTATTGACCCACTCGATGCATTTCATTAAGCATAACAGGGTCACCGCAATTTATTAAAGCATGATCTAAATCTGTAATAGAATGAATAATATATGAGCACAGTGGAGTGAATTGAAAGATATTACTTGAGATTGAATTGTGATTTTCACGCTTTCAGTCCATACATTCTATTATGATTCATGTTCATTTTTACCTATAACCATACGTATATAAAATGTGCAATATAATGATTTTCATTCCTTATATGCAATCTGATCTATAACACGAACACCAGTTGGAAAACTTACCATATGAAATTTGTCTACCCTGAAAAAAATAAGAAGAAACTTCCCCCAACTCTACATAAAACCCTAGTTTTTCACCAGTTTTTTTCCCCTTTTTCCTCGTCAGTTTTTTTTTTTTCTTTTTCTTTTCATCAGCTAATTTAAAACAATACAGTACAATCAACTAACGACGCAAACTACACCCAACACATTGAACTTAAAAAATAAAAATAAATAATCTGAATTTAAAAAAAAAATAGCAAATTAAAATTAAAAACAGCTAAAATAGCATTCATCCAGTATTTTTGATTGGCGACTTTACAGTAAAAATTACCTCGAGTTTCTGAATAGCAGTGGCCTCAGATACACCAGTGATGCTCATGAAAGTATCAATTGCTTCTTGATCAGGCCCGGCCATTTCAAATGAATGAGAACTTAATTTTTGCCTAAATAAAAAGAGAGTTCAGAAATTTTAAGAAATTCGTGTGTTGTTCAAAACGGAAGGGAGAACATTAGAGTAATATATAGAGTTGAGGACTGAATTGTCTTTACCATTGGAAGGGTGATTGGGTTGGTAAATATGATGAGAGTGGAGGTAGGTTCTGACATGTTCTGTTCCCACTCTTCCATTTGGCGTTGATTAATTATATTATCACTACAAATTTTAATTACCACGCCACCATATCATAGTTACACCATAATTAAAATATACTTTTAATAAATACATTATAATAAATTTACAATTATAATTTTAATTAAATCAGTAAAAATAAAAAATTGAAAAATAACATAACATAATATTGTGATGTACTTATCACCAATATTAATCTTCATTTTCTAAACCTTTCCCCTCATTTATTTCATAGCAATTGAAAATAAAACATCGGTGAAGGACACCATACAATAATAAATTGTATGTTTGACACAAATAATTAATATGTTCGAAAGGATCCTTTGAAATTGTCAGTAATTTGTTTGTGTTACCATTTTCATTCGATATATGAATTTTTTATGTATTCACAATTTTATTTTTTTAATCTTGAAAATCTATTTTGGAAACACTTTTAAGTTGAATTAAGAAATTTTATCGACAACAACCTTATAATTTCATGGATGAAAAGGTTTAAATAATTTATCAGACACATTTAAAACCCAACTTGAGGAAGCATTTCTAACATATTTTTGATAAACTCGACATGTTTTAGAATGAATTAATAGACATAAATTTAATATTCGATTTATTTATACTTGGTTAGTAGCAAAGTATTGTGTATAATCATATATATTGAAGTCACCATCATTTTCCTAATATTTAGAACAAATAAATTGAATTATGATAAGTTTTAAAAAAAACTTTAAATTTATTACGATCCTGTAAAAAATACAATATAACAATAACAACTTTTGGAAATTTATATACCTCATAGACAAAAATTCACGAAAATCGATGCACCTACATATACACAAATTCATTTACGGTTTATCTATATACCGTGAGGGAAAGATTATCTTGTCGCCGTAGAAGAAGGCAAAAGTCGTTGGAAAAACTATGAACAATGAGATGTTGAGGAAAAAGAAAGAAAGAAATAGACTTTATATTTGTGGTTTAACAATAATTTATTTAATTAAAAAGTATATTAAAATTTTAATTATGTAATTTTACTTAATGATATTTTAGTAGAAAATTGGAAGGGTCCGTTTGATTGCAAAGATGGAAATTGGATGGAAAGAAAATGAATTTCAGGGAATTGAATTGCTTAAAAATTGTTTTCCTGGAAATTGTCAATTTTTGTATTTGATTGGTATAATTTTTCACGTAAAAAATCTCGAAATAAAAGTATTTTTTGAGGTTTGTTTGGCTTTGTTTTGCATAAAAATTGTCGATTATCCTCTTTTATAATTGGTGATAGAATTTAATTCTATTGCCCAAAAAAAAAAAAAAAAAAAAAAAAGGTTGCTAGTTGCCTGGAAAACCAAAAACCATACCTCGTGCAATAAAATGAATTAGTTAATTTGGTGGAAAACATGTGCCATGGAAGATGGAAATTCTATTGCCTAGAAAATGTTACCTATCAAACAAGGCAAATGGAAGGAAAATAGAATTTAAATTCC